CGGGCCGGGGGTGGCAGGGGGTTACCTCAGGACGGGCCCCAGCTGCCGTCCTGAGCCCCTGGGGATGGGCCGTTACCTCAGGAATGGCCCCTCAGGTGCCCTGAGACCCCAGGGATGGGCCGTTACCTCCGGGATGGGTCCTAAGTGTGTCCTGAGGCCCTGGGGGTGGCCCTTTACCTCCGGCCTGGCCCCAGCAGCGGCCCCGAGGCCCTGGGGATGGCTCTGTGCTGCCTTTTTGGTTTCTTGTGGCTCCCTCTCCAGCACAGGCTCCTGTCAGCGTTTTTTTTTGCTCCTAGAGCAGGGAGCTGTTTATTTCTGTAACAAAATCCTTTATTTATGTGCCGCTATATGTGACCCGTGGGGTTTAGCTCCCGTTCTCCCAGGCCCAAGGGGCTCTGTGCAGGAATCACACTCGTACTTTTATCCCTCCGAGCTCAGCCCTGAGCTCCAGCAGCTTCTGCTCCCCCTCTGCCATCCCCTTTCCCAGCCTGGTCCACAGCTGTCCACGCTCCTGCTTCCCTCCATCTTCCAGCACACCCTGGAACACACCGATAGCAGCACGGCAGGCAGCTTTTATAATTTTCCCTCTCATTCTGAAGCCTTCGCCTTTCCCCCTGCTCTGTTTTCTATTTTAAAGCCCAGTAGCTGCATTTTGTCTCTCTTACAGGTTATTACCACTCTCAAGAGTGGAGCCATCTGTGTTTTCAGACAGCCCCTTGTCTGTGTTGCCAGGCACAAGATCTCCCCCGATTTCGGGTCACATCAGGCTGCCTGCACGACCGCTGCCTGAGCTGACATCTTGAGCTTTCCCAGAGCTCTTCGGGCTTTGAATACACAAAGATTTGTGGCGTTTTAGGAGCCGTTTCCTCTGTTCTATTATTAATGCACATTAATTATTGCTCTTCTAGACTTTGATCTATGTAAATCCCTACTAAAGATCCTTGTAAGTTCTTTTTCTTTTCTCTGCCTTGCGTGGGACCTGCTCGTGTAAAGGTTGGAAGCGAGATGAAGGGCAGTTGAGCACGTGTTTGTGCCCGGGAGGCCGACAGAATTGGAAAGCTTTTTTTTTTTTTTCGGATCTTCAATTGGACTGGACCTGCCCTGACTATCAATAATACATGACCTGGGCTTTCTGCACTGAAACTCTGCTAATTGGCTAATTAAAAAAGTGAAACGTGCAGAAGGAGCCAACGCGTCGCTCGCAAGAGACTCTTTCTGCAGCAATGCCAAGGCTGAGCATGTGCTAATGCGTCTCATAAAACCGAGCCGGAGGTGAGCGAGTCTCAGGAGCCACGAGGATGATTTCGTAACCAGCCTTCTTGCGGTTGGCTTCTCATTGTGTCTTGCCTTGCTGCTGTATCTTCTTTTTTTAATCTTTTTTTTTTTCCTTTTTCCCCACCATTTCCCTTCTAAAAGGGAAGAATTGTGTGCGGTTTCTTTCAGCGCTGGCGAGTTTGTGGCCGGGGAGAGCTGCCTCAGGTTTTGACTCTGATTTCTTCCCCGTGCTCGGTGCTGTGCTGCTCTTTTCCTCCACATTAGCTTTCTTATGAGTGGCTTTTTTCACAGGAAAGGATTTCTTCTTTCAAGCATTTGTTGCACACCCCGCTTCCCACAGAAAGCACCCAGGTCAGGAATGAAAAGCGAGGAGAGAAATCTGGGGAAACCCCAAAGGTTTTTCCTTCCTTCTCTGACAGTATTCTTTTCCAGGCTCTAGCTTGTTCCCTCCAAGCTCCTGGAGCAGATCAAGACTAACCTGGTTTTTTTTTTTTTTCCATTCTCTGCAGATCGTGGACACCTTGATTATTGCCCGCTTCGTCCTCCTGGCCGTGATGAGCCTCGTCTTACTTGGGTGCCTGTTCCTGTTCCTGGTTTACCACCTCATGGAGCCAGTGTACGGCAAACCGCTGCGGGGCAGCTAGCGGCAGCAATCCCAGCAAAGAGGAAATCCCGTTTTCATGGCGATAAACCTGGAAGGGAGACCAGGAGACTGCTGTGGAGGTGAACGTGGTGATTTTTCCGAGCTCAGAAGAAGCCAGTGAAGCAAAGTATCTTGCTTGCCTCCAGTGCTGCGTCTTTCACCTTTAAAAGCAAAGTTTGAGCTGAGCATGAGCGCCTTCCTCTCCAGGGACTGTGCAGACTGTAAAGGAGCTTTAACCGCTTCTTTCCTCTTTTACAGGAGAGTTGAAATCTCTGCACTTTATATGACACTCGATTCAATGAATTGAACTGAGCTGTGCTGGTTTGTTGTCGTTATCCACAAGAGATGGTTTGTTATCATTCCTTTTTCACTTTTGTTTAATAAAAACTCTCTGAGAAACCCCTGACTCTGTCTTTCTTCTCCAGAAGTGTCACCTTTTGCCACTCTTTAGTGACAGCCTCTCTGAAAACCGCCTTTTCCCGTGGCCGACGTGGTTTTCTAGAAATTCAGCGTGTGGTTGTGAATTGTTTGGGACAGGTTTTTTTTGACTGGAAACCCGAGCCTTTGGAGTGGGGAGGGAAAAACTTCCAAAATAATGCCAAAAGGGCAAATTAAAATCTTCCCCCACCGCAAGGATGCGGAGGAAGGCTAGGTCTCGCCTCCCTACGCTAAAAAATCCTGCTAGCCCAGGCAAAAACCCTCTTGCTTTTCAAGGACTGTGCAGATACCCGAGTGTCTCCCACATCTGGTGGGCCCCCAAATTCTCAGTCATCTTGGGGTGGGGAGCCAAAGGCTCACGATTTTTCCTACCCTAAAACAAAAAAATTGCTCGCACTCACGCAGATCACTGGCTGAAGCCAATAGTGGACCCCAAGTCCTTTCCTTTTGGGGGGTAAAAACCACTTTTTATGCCCACGTTTTCTGGCCCCAGAGGGATGAATCTGCTCAGCTTTTCACGGCTGAGCGGGCAGCAGGTATTGCTGTGACGTTGGAGCCGAGTGCAAGACGGTGCTGCAGCCTCAGGGGCAATATTGACAAAAACCCAAGGGCAAGAAACTCATAGCTTTCATATAGATTTATTTTTTCCCCCCCATTTTAGAGATTTTTTTTTTTTCATTTGTGTCTGAAGATGGTGAGCAGTAAATAAAAGAACCAACCGGCTTCTTCCAGCCCTTTCCTGCCAGCTGTCAGTCACCAAATACCGCTGTCAGGACATGAAAGATTAATGAGGCAAGAGCTCGCGAGCTCGGAGACGACGCTTTCCCCTGCAGAAAATGCCCCAGCACCCAGGAGCCCTAACTCGGTCAGCTGAAAATGTGTAAGTACATTCCAAAAACAAAAAAAAGGCCAAGGAGAGGTGCACCGGCTTTTCGAGCCGTGTAAACACTCAATCGCTTCCTCTCCTGAAGTCGATATCCCAGGGACTCCAACGATGGTGTGAAGGAACACGCCGAGCGTTTATGCAACACGAGCGCATCGTGTCTCTTGGTGATTTTGAAGTTCTGCCCTGAAACAAAATTCATATTTAATTCATCATCTTCACAACATTTATGAACGCGAAGCTCGTCTTGCGGCTCGCTCCGGCTCCGCACCTGCCGGGTCTTTATTCCCCGAGCTCATCCGAGAGCAGCGGGCTGGAGACGGCGGCACTTCACCGGGCTGCGAGTCCGAAAAATGGGGAAGCCATGGCAAAAGCAGCTGGGGTGCTAAAAAAACACCCCTAGAAGCAGAAATGGGAAGCTTCCTCCGCTTTCGTGCTGTAAATAAACCCAGGAAATTTGCTTTTTCTGTCCCTGTAATCCGTTTGGGACTAAAATCGGCTCATTGTGCGGGGGGTGTTTTGGGGAGAGCGGAAAGCAGGAGGGACGCGGTGGCTCTTGCCCAAGGCGGCCGTTTCAGCGCTTTTTCCAAAAATTGCAGGAATTGGGGAAAGAGCCCCACGTGCTCTCATCCTCCTCAAGATATTTCGAGCTCCATCCTCATCCTTCACCACCCCTTGGCAGCCAGGAGCGACCAGCTGGATGAACGCGGCAGCCCTGAGCTCTCCCTCTGTGTTTATTTATTCTGGGCAATCCTGCTCCTCCTGCTCAGGGGCTTTCCAGACGGTTCCTGTTTATTTTTGGGAAAGGAAAAGACCGCGTCAAGGAATTGGTATGAGGCCGGAGCTGCGTTCCAACCAGACCCAAATGCTGATTTTTTAATTTATTTTTTTTTTGCTGCCATCCCCCACCCAAACCTTCAGCTCCAGAGCACGTCCGCCTCTGTCCAGCACCCTGTTTATTTTTTTTTCTCGCAACTAATTAGCAACAGGAGGGTGGGCTGGGCTTAAATTCCAACCCCTCAGCTGCTGGCGAAGGTGTTAGGAGCCAAGGAGCTCCTCTCTGGCCCATCTTTCTCCCAAAACTGTGAGTGAATAATCCCGGCGTTCCTCTCGCAGGGAGCCGGGTGCTCCGTGTCCCAGGGAACCAGGCGAAAACCCCACTTCGATCCCAGCGAGGGAAACCTGGCGTGCCAGAAGGGATGTTTGCACAAGATACCGCGCGCGCCGGGAGGAGGGCAGCCAAGCTGCTTTGAGTTCGGGTGGGAAAATGGCCTTTTTCCCCCTAAACTCTCTGCGTGGCTCATTAGAAACCAACAGGGATGCTCGGCACGGGCTCACGAGGACGCCTGCTCCCTCCCGTCCGAGGCTGAGCGGAGCAGGGATGCAGGGAGAGCAAATGTCTGTGGGAGAAATTCCTTTCCTTGATTTAAGATCCCCGAATGACAGCAATTCCTCACGCCTTGTGCTGCGCTCCGCCAGCGTTTAATTACCCTCCCTGGTAAATGCCGGCCCCTGATTTCCACCTCGACTTTGCTGACTTCAGCTTCTCCGCTTTCGCCTTTGGCTGCTAATTAAAAAGCCCTTCAGCCTCCGCTGCCCGCTCCTCACACGGGTACCCCCCGACCGTGCCCCAGCCACCTCATCACCTTCACAGCAGCCCTGCGCCCGCAGCGTCCATCCAAAACACACGGCCCCTTCCCCGGCCGCCTCCCAGCCAAGACGCTGGGGTTGGGCACCGATGGAACA